AGATTCTGATTTTCACAGGTATTTTTCCCTTCTTCTATTTAACAATAATTTATTCAAAGCATTGGAAATGTCTGTGCATGTTCAGATATGCCACTGTCAATCTGGTAACATACATTTTATCATTCTTGGGGAAGAAATGCAGAAAAGAAACAAAATGAATAATGAAGATAGAAAAGACACCAGCTTCTCTTGTGCTACATTATGAAACAATATTCCTTGCAAAACACAAGCAGAATAATGCAATTTGAAAATCAAAGTAATGTTCCTTGACAGCTGTCAGCTTTGCTCTGATGGACCTAAGACCTTTACAGCAGATTCACATTAAGTACAGTGCTAGAATTTAATAAACTTTTGTTCCCTATAGAAGCACTACTGTGTAACTACACCACTTTACCGACAGTATATGGACTCTATTCCCAGGTGTCCATAATCTTAGTTGGTTCACGATCGTTTCCATTTGTTTGCTGCAACACTTGTACTTCCCCTACACGTTAACAATTTTTAAATATAGCTTCAGTTCAACTATATTTACACACATTGTTCAAAATCAAATATCACAGAGCTTTTTCTACTTCAGCTGCTTGGCAGGAGTGGATAGAAACAAAAAACATGGAAACTAAAAAGGCAATGATAGGTGTTTGGGGGTTTCTTTGGAAAACAAAGATGTAGTTAAATGAAACCCCAGGTGCCTCAAAAAGCCTGTTAAGATAAAGGTCTTGGAAGGAGGAATTTGAATTCTTCTTTCTTGGGAGCATGCTAAGGGAGAAAGCCTTCTCTGAACCTTACTAGGTTTACCAGAAGGTCACCCAAAGGCTATAACAGCAGCTAACCAGGAAATACACTTGCTCATTAAAGTATCTACCTACAAGCCTCTTTAGCCTTAAATAAGACCAGAACAATCCAAAAGGGTTGTTAAAAACTTATCAGGAAAGGTACATCATAGTGCAAATAGCTTTCGGGAAGGCACAGTGAGCACAGCCCGGCTATGATCATAGTGCTCCTCTGTGCCCCACACCTCCTCGTGACACCAGCTGGAGCAGAGCAGGCACCAGGCCGGGCTGTGAACTTTTATTTGAGAGGCTCATGGGTGGAATCAGGACTTGGATGGGAGGCCCCTCGGGCACCCCCAGGGCCTCTTCTCACCCGGCCCCGCGCGGGCCGCCGCAGCCCGGCGG